CGCAATCTTCTTGTTCTGCAGGCATTTCTTGTTGTTTCTCATAATTCCAAATCTCCATTTCTAAAAACTGAAATACGAAGCCAAAAGAACCTCTCCCTTCTTGTGCATCTTCTTTCTACTTTTTAAGTTCCATTTTCAGTTCTTCTAAAAGTGGAGCCATTTTAAACAGTTTTAAACAACCATCCAATTGATTTTAGTCATTCAAATACAATAACCAAAAATCCAGAAATCATCAAGTAATCCAAATAGTCCCAAGTTATATCTTCTTATTTCTTTTTCCACTTTCTCTTCCTGGGGTTTTTGTTGCAATGTTTCAGTTAGAATGTATCTTTTGGAAGTCTTGTTGAGATTTTGCTGTAAGTTCTTTTTAATTCCAGGCAGTCTCCTCCCTTCCAGATCTTGCCCTTTTATTCTTTTTCTCTCCTTTCCTGTTTTCAAAAACTTTTGATTATCCAGAAATCTTTATTATCCCTTTGACTTTTTATTTTCAGCATTAAATGCCTATTAATGTCAAAGTGGATTTTTTTCCAATTTCTTGCTTAAGTCTCTTAGCTGTCAGTATAGGAAAAGGAGAAAAAAAACCCAAATCTTTTCCCTTTTCTCTCTCCTTCGCAGCTTAAAAATCTTCTTAGGGAACAATGTTATTGGTTTTTTTTTAATAGTTTCAATTTCAGGGTACCTTATTTGTTGCTTTTGCTGTTTGACCCGGTCAACCAAAACTTTCTCTTCTTATCTTCCTCCTGCACATTCTTTTCCGGTCTAGTTCTTCTTTGTGGTGGCCATTTCTGACCACTGCTACAACCGCCTTCGGGAAAGGGAGTAATGGCCAGCTGGGGAGGAGAGATGTGGCTCTCCTTAACCCTGCAGGCAGTCTCCCCCCTTCACCACCTCTACGGGGTGGCTTAGCCCCGAAACCAGCTGGCTCGGGGCGCTCCAGCGGCGAGCACAGATCGAAGCCTCGCAGAGACGAGGTTTTGGTCTGTCACCGAAGAAGCTCAAACCGGAAGTCCGGCTTAATTTTTGAATAGGAGACTACTAGGAAGTTACCTAAAGGACCATCTTTCCCAGGTACATCTACCCAACTCACAAGAATGGGAAGGAAGGGTATGTTATGGGTTCCCTCCATTAAGGGCTTTCTTGGTGGTAGTTCTATCCCAGTGGAACATCATCCCTGCAGAAATAAGATTGGCCTGCCACCTTGATATTCTTTTGAAAGTCTCTGAAGTCATGGGTTTACCAGCATGCCTGGGGACCCCAGGTGATTTATCTTTACCATGAATGGAGCAGCCATATATATTTTCTCAATAAATATAATAAATTAAAATAAATTAAAGAATTATAGCCTTAATGAAAAAAAAAAGCTGAAAGGGGGCAACAAGAAGCTATATTTGCTATGTTGCTACAACAACATAGACCCAAATGGTATTTTATCTTTTTAAAATGGCAAAAAAAGAAAGGGAGATATTTGTGTTGTAGTTCTTGAATCTCAAATTCATTTCCCCCTTTTATATACAGCTCTTTCAATCATTACTATTTGGCTTAGTAGGGGTTTAAATAAAAAATTATATATGTTTTTCATCTTACTTTTTCTTATCTCATAACTCTTCCTTCGACGGAACTTCACATTAACTCTTGGCCAAGAATCAGTCTTCTCTATAACAGTGGCCTCCACGCGGACTAGGTCCTTTCTTTATAACAAATTGAGAAATTAAAAAAAATCATGTTTACTTCCTAATAGATATTTCCTTTGAAAAATTAAGCAATGGCAATAGAAATATTTCTAAAGCGATTGCAATTTATTTATTTACTGCATACATATTTTCTCAGAGAACTTTCTCAAGGTAGCTTACAAAACAAACAATAGCACAAAGCATATATAGAGATAATATCAAACAAATAATACCAGAAAACAGCAGACTACAACATTTTGAATTATATATTTATGATTTTAGAAGGGAACTCATTTCTCCAGAAAATTAAAACAAAGTGGACAATTGCTGGTCTAACTGCATCTCTCAACTAGTTCAACTTGCTTTTTTAAGGATGGTCTAAATACAATGGAGTTACTACGGCAATTCCCTTCTTTTCTGCACACATCTTTCCTCAGCTGCTTTTGAGTGCTTGGTAGAATCATTTTTAAAGCCTTTCGAACTCCTTTTCATCCCAGTGCACATGACTCTGAAAAGATTCAGCATGACTCAATGACCCCAAAGCATGCCTTACCCCAGGAGAGGCTTTCCCAGCAGTGTGAAGTTATCAGCCCCCACCAACAGTACCTGGGACAGAAGTAAATAATGCATGTTAATCATCATACTACAAAATATATCAGAACGTTTCCAAGGCAATCATGGAAGATGCACCCTTAAATCTGCACTTTGGTTTTCTCACCCTGGTAGTTGAATGACCAGGATAAAATAGGGGATTGCCAAATAAATACCACTTGGGACAAAAATTGTGTTATTTTCCCCACATCTCTGGAACATACAAGAGAAGACAATAAGCGATAGCAAACTTCACTGTTTTCATGCATGATGTGACTTCTTTCAGTGCTGCAGGGATAACCTCACATTTTGAAAAGAAGGAAGAAAACCACCCTGCTGGACACCTATTTGTTCCTGGAGTTCAGACAACTCAAAATCAATCTGAAGGAAATCATACGGAGAGCTTCCTGATGGGACCATGAACATCATGGTTTAATGATTAAGGCATGAAGCTAAAAATTGGGAGACGGTGAATTCTAGTCCTGCCTTAGAATGAAAGCTGACAGGGTAATTTTGGGCCAGTTGATCTCTTTCAGCCCATTATGTCAGGCTTGGGAGACAAGCTGGTTGGTCTTTTCCTCTTGTAATTGGATCAACACTTGGTTGATTTGAAAAAAAGTGGACCCTGCATGTGCAGGAAAATACTAGGAAGAAAAAAAAAACCATGCATTTTCTGTTCTTCAGATACACTGGGGCTTGGTGGTTCCAGAATTCCTAGCCATTTGCTATGTTGTCTGAGAATTCTGGGAATTACAATCCCAACATACTTGAAGAGTGCCAAATTGTAAAGTGTTGATGCAGCCTTTTTGTTCATTTTACTAACCAGCCAGCAAAATTTCATGGTCCCATGATAATTTCTTGCAAGATTTTCTTCTATTTCACACTTATTATGTTACTGAGTTAAATGATGCATAAATATCCAGGGATGTCTCATCAAAATAAAAATTAAAGGAGCAGATTATAGGAAAAGTTCTTTCCATTGCTAAATTATTCCAAATTGTAATATTTTATCAGAATACAAGGCAATCCAGTTCATCTCAGTGGCATCTTGTATTATTTTATATGAATCTACAATTATCCAGGCTGTTTTATTGTTAAGTGGATTAGTCTAGGCATTGAACTATGCATCAGAATTATGTTTACAAATCAGAGCAGATGTATATGGCAATGTATAATTAAATCATGTCTGGATAGGAGCAGAATAAATCACTTTAAAATGATCTTACACATGGAAGTCTTGTCTAAAACATGACAGTAATTAGTTGGTTTGAATTAGGCAAATAATAACTGAGATGTTTGCCTCTACAAAACATGGCTGGGGTTGATGTGAGGGGTTCTCCAAAGTATACAGAGGGAAACAGGTTCAACCCAAATCAAAATAAGTATATTGTACAGTGCCACAGAGACAGAGACATCAATTTAAAAAGTGAAATGCCCACATAAGCTAACAAAGAGAAGTAAGTTATTCAAAGTATATTTTCCTCCAACCCCATCCATTTAATGGAGGCAGTCAGAATTAGTTGTGTGAATGAAGTCCGATGTTCACTTTTTAAAAGGTGCAATAGTGTTGAGAAAGTTCTCAGACTGAAGACAATATTTGGCTACTACAGGGGTGTCCAACTGGCAGCCCATGGGCCGGATGCATCACGTACAGGCCACGCCCACCCCGGCTCCGCAAACGGGAAAAATATCGCATGACGGCAATGTGATGCCGTGAGTTTGACAACCGTGCTCCAGTATAAGAGCTGTTACAGTCTCTTTTGTATGTTGGGTGTGTTCAGACTGGTCAGAGGAAGATACTGAAACCTGGATAGCATGTTTTGAAATTATTTATACAGTATATTAAAATTTCTTTATATATCAACATATGCTGTTCAATTGTCTTAAAAGGCTGTAATCTGCTTTCAATAAATCTTATTCTAGAATTCCTGGGGAAAGCAGCTAAAACTGAGGTATCAACTAACAGGGTCTGACATTGTGAGTCACCTTAATAAGGCAAAGTGGATGGGGCTGAAAACTGTGTGGCAAGAAGTACAGGTGCCTCATTTAACGACTGTTCAGTTACAACAGTGAGGAAAAGATGACTTTACCAACAAACCTCACATTTAAAGACACCATAAGTCTGTAAAGCAAAGGAAAGGTGAAATAGGATCATAAATATAATCATTTTAGTGACAGCTTTGCTTAATGTCCAAATTGCTAGTCCCAATTGTGGTTGCTACCCAAGGACTACATGTATTCGTAAAGGGGGAAGAGTTAGAGGCTCTAAAACCTTGAAAACATCAATGGGGTGGTAGCATGAAAGTCACAACAAAAGAAGGCTAACAAGAGGATCTAATTGTTGCCAATAGGGAGCTAAAGCACTAGAAGGGAAGGCATAGGTCAGTATCTGATACCAGAGGGCACACAACACTTGCACTGGCCGATTGAGAGCTTAGGCAGCAGCTAAAGGAACTCTGCACTAGTAAGAAAAGGACAAAGTAAGAGAAACAAATTGGAATAATAGAGTAAGAGGCACACTTGAGTATAACTTGAGTATAAAGAAGTGGAAGCTTAGATAAAAGCCTGGATTAGTGGAAACAGATAAGGTGGCTATTAATACTTCTCCACTCCTATCTTGCCTTTGAACAACACCCACAGGTCCATCAGCAACCTTTCTTCCACAGCTCATCATTTACCACTTAATTCTTTTTCTCCTTGGAATGCCATTTGAATCTTAAAAGGGTTCCTGATCATCTTTATCTCTCTAGCCATCATCAGAAAACCACTTTGATGTTCTCACAAATAGCTCCCAGAAGTCATTCTTCAATGTTTTTAGCTCTGTCTCCCTGCTTCTACTACAATATCTACTCCCCTGTCACAGGACATGCATTCCTGCGGGAAATGCTAACAGGTAGCTAATGACACGATGAGACGGAGGCAGACATGTGTGTGTGTGTGTTATGCTGACTTAATGATACATTTATGGTAAAGTAATCTTTCGGATTACAAAGGGACAAAAAATTATTGCTAACATGAAGCCTACCTTTTCCATTCTGATTCTGTCTCCACATTCAGCGGGTATGTGGTTTTCAATTAAAATCAAGTCTTCACTAGTTATTTTCCACTGTCTACTGGCAAAGTGAACAACTGCAAACAGTCTTCCATATTGCCCAGTAGCAATTAACTCATTCACATTTTGTACAATCTCTGGAAGAAAATTAGTGAGTTAAAGTTAGTTATTGGCTAATTAAATGTATTTATTAGATTAATCTCCCACATTTTGTTCAGGAGCTCAAGATGATACCTAGACTGTTCCTTCATCTGACCCCTCCCCACCAAACAAGACTTGACAATTTAGGCTGAGAGGAAGTGAGTGGTTCCTTTTATGGCTGAAGATGTAGAACCTGGGTCATTTCATTTAGAGTAAGACCACCACTGCTCTCTAAATGAAATGTATGTATTGAGATGAGTGTGGGAGAATAATTGCCTTGGATGAATAGCCCTATTATAGCATCCATAGTGCTGCTTTTCTTATACTTTAAAAAGAACTGATTCTAAAGCAAACTTTAAGATAAGAGGAAATGCACACTGTTTTGGGTCCAAGCCAGGAAGGTTGGGTGCCGTAGTATAGGCAGAGCCATAGGCACCTTGACTTGTGAGCATCTCTTCTCAAAAGCTATTTCTTGGGCTGGCATTGTCCTGAAACATATTTATTTATTTATTTGATTTTATTTATTTGATTTGTCAATCGCTTACAAGATAATAGGTGTAAGTATATACATAGTTATGAATACATGAAATGGGTACATATAAGAAAAACAAAAAAGAAACAATAGGACAGGGATGGTAGGCAAGTTGGTGCGCTTATGCATGCCCCCTACAGACCTCTTAGGAAAGGGGTGAGGTCAATAGTAGACAGTCTACGGTTAAAGTTTTTGGGGTTTGGGGAAGAAACCACAGAGACAGGTAGAGTATTCCAGACATTGACCATTGTTGCTGAAGTCGTATTTCCTGCAATCAAGGTTGGTGCAGTTAACCTTGAGTTTGTATCTATTGTGTGCTCTTGTATTGTTGTGGTTGAAGCTGAAGTATTCATTGACAGGTAAGTCATTGCAATGTATGATTTTATATACCATACTTAGATCAGACCGAAGATGGCGTAATTCAAGGCTTTCTAGGTCTAGAATTTCAAGTCTGGTGGCATAAGGTATTCTACAATGAGTAGAGGAGTGGAAAACTCTTCTTGTGAAATATTTCTGGACTTTCTCAACTGTGCTAATATCAGATACGTAATGTGGGTTCCAGACTGATGAGCTGTATTCGAGTATTGGTCTAGCAAATGTTTTGTATGCTCTAATTAGTAGCGTGATATTACCAGAGAAAAAGCTACATAGAATTAGGTTAACAACTCTTAATTCCTTTTTGGCTGCGTAGTTACAGTGGGCTCTAGCACTTGGATCATTAGAGATGAGTATTCCATATACATGAGTTCAAGGGCATGAACGTGTAGCATGGTGTTTTGATCTTTGAACTCAAAACCTATCATTTCCAGAGGCTGCACGGCTACTGTTCAAGTCTAGAAAAAGACACAGTTTCAATCACATTCTTGGATGGGACACAGCACCAATCAGTGAGACCTTTCTCTTTGGGTTTATGAAACATAGGAGGTAGGGTTGGGTCTCTAAGGAGGCAACATTGACTACATAACAGTATGTTAATAGTAACTGCATTGGCTAAGAGGGTAAAGCATGTCAATAGCTAGATGACAAATCTAGCTACTTTCTGTATGAAACCTCTGAAGACATCTTTACTAATGCTAGTATTGCTTGTGTTTCTTGTTCTGCTATTCTGTGCTAAGGATTACATGTCTTTATTAAATCAAAAGCAGAAACAAATGAGAGGCAGTGACAACATCAAAATGAAACACACAGAAATGGCATGCCTTATGTTTTTTGAGAGGGTACAGATTATTTACCTCTATGATGTTCTGCCTCCTCTGCTGGATCTGGTAGCTTGATTTCAGGCCATGGAGGTGATGACAAGGATGTTTTTGGAAGTAGCCTGTAAAATAACAAGAATCTGCTATTATAAATATTACAGTCAATTCCTGGATATTTAATTGCATCTCTCAAGTCCCATTTTTTAAAAAATGTGTAGTCCTCTAGCCAAGAATTTTTCACACCTCTCCCAGCTAATACCTTATCTTAAAGTTTGCTTTAGAATTAGCTTCAGATACAGAAACATGAATCATAAAATATGATTACAGGAGAAGCAAAAACAGAAGAATGAATTACCTAATGGATTCCGAAATGCAATAGCAGGGAAGTCAACCTTCAGCCAACTCCTTGATTATACTGTAGAAGGCCCCCTATTTCATGCTGGAAAACTCACACTTTTCCAAGCAGAATGTTTCAGTTTCCAGGCACCTGGAAACTTCACTTAAAAGGATTTCAGAATCTAGGGGTGAGGTGGGGGCTTGGGGAAAGGGTGAGAGAAGTTACTATGAGCTACAGTAGCCTTTCTTCATCCTTCAGGTGTATTGAGGCTTGATGGAAAAGTAACTCAAAACAAGCAACATATTGAGCATATTTATAACATAATTAGGAAACTACTTCGAGCAATTGGGGAGGTCATTTGGAGCATGTACTGACATGTTTATCAGATATGTGTCAATGTTCCAAGTAATACCCCAAAGAAAGAAGAACTCTTTGAGGCAGTCAGATTCCTCAAAGGAGGGTTTTATTGGAGATATCATATTGGCACAGCTGGTGAAAACTGACTCTGAAAACTGCCACAGTTTTCACTTGATTAAAAAGTGAAAGTTCCCCCTTTGCCCAAACAACCAGTCACATTGTCCAATCAAAGTGCTACCCAGTAGCCTGGTTACTTCACTCCTCCTTTCTCCAGCTACCTGTTGGAATGACCTTGATTCCCATGGGAACTATTTTGTTTTGGCCACAAAATCCCCATCTATGTCCCCCCTCCCTATCCCTTCTTTGCATTATGGCAATCCTGAAGCCTCCAAAATGGCCCCAGCCAAGTTTGCTTCAGAGTTGACAATAAAATGCAGTCAATCTGTTGCTTATACACTCATTTTCAAAAGCTTTCAATTAAAAAGCAGCATCACAAAGGGGAAGTTTGGTTACCTGGCATAAACCTAACTATGAATTATGGTTTATCTTTGAGTAAGTTTACCCATCAGTGGCTCATTCACCTAACCACAGTAGATGAAACTATGTTTTTTGTCCATGGTTAATAGGATTTCAATAATGAAAAAAGCCTTCTGAAAATGTTTTCAATTTCTTTATCATATCTTTTGATTCCTCTTTCCGTTTTATAATATATAAAATTGGAGGAAGAAAAAAAGAGTGATTGCCAAAGCACAGGCTACAAATATACACCCATTCATTCAAATCCCTGTGTGTTGTGCATGTTGTCCTGTAAAATGTTGTCATCTAGCCAAGGGTTCAGCTAGCTCAGGGTGGTACCATTCTGTGGCAGGCAGGCAGGCAGGCAGGCAGGCAGGCAGGCAGGCAGGCAGGC